GTTGACAGATGGCTCAGATACTCTGTGACACCACGAAGTCATTTCAGAGCTGCAACCATTATTTTTTAAAATGAAAAAGTAATTTTCTGTTCTTTTTTGTTCTCATTCTGTTACCTTGTGTGATATTGTGTTTTGCCTCCTGTTCGTTTTGTGTTTTTAGAGTATAAGGTCGTGTTTATGAATTGATTATGTGTTGCTTTGTAACAATGTCTCATGTTGTTGTGTTTTTCTCCAATTTATTTAAGTTATTTAACTCCGTTTTTGTGTTATAAAATCCTTTGCCTCATCTCATCCTGTTATTTTACTTTAAGCCATATGTGATTGGATTTGTTATTATGCATTTATCTGTTTCAGTCAGATAGTATTGTGTTTTATTTTAACTTTTTTCTCAGTGCATCTTTAAATTAGCCTAACATAGCCCTAATGCCAATGCAACTTGATCCATAAGAACGGTGTGAACCCTTTTAGTTACATTATCGTTACATATCTGTGTTGATTCTGATTATTGATCCAAATCCAGGAACTTCAAAATTGTTGACTTTGTCAGAACGTGGAGTGTACTGACTCTGCTGAAATCTGAGTGGCCGTAGCGAAGGTTTACACCGTCAGTGTTTTCTCTAGTTCTTGCCTAAAGGTATTGATCAGTTCTAATTGTACAACCATGACACCTTAAATATAATCACTCTGGACACTAGAGTGACAGTAAAGGCCGAGGAGCTGCCTCGAAGCAGCTTAATGTGACGGGCCTGTCAGGTCTGTGGTCCAGTCCACTTCTGCTTTTGGACTCATCGACACTTCCTAAATCTGGTCTGGTGAAGTAGCCGTAAGCAGGGATGAAGAAGATATTAATGTTAATGTTAATGTTAATGTTAATGTTAATGTTGATGATGATGATGATGATGACAATTCATGTTTTATATATGACGTTATGTTGGAGTACTAAGATACAGATGACAAGAGAATTAAAAGCTTAAGGACAATTCAGACGGAAAGCATTTATATATTTTTATTTTAAAATTTAAAATTTGAAAACGTTAAGGAATATCAAGACACCTTCCGTCTTTATTACCTTTTTAATAATACAATATTTTTAAGTAATATTTTTCTGGTAACATTTTCATCTTCTCTGAATCTTTAACTTTAACTTTTTTTATTCACCTGAAGGTAATGAAAACTGGTACATTATTGTCACATTTTCTTGGTGGTGTGGCGCTTTGGCCCAGCAGCAACGTCTCTGTCATTGGTGTGGAACCACAGGGTTCACCTCCTGGACAAGTTCGAGTCCCAGGTTAGGGCGGTTGGTACCTTCCAGTGGACTCACCACCCACAGGAAGGTTCAGGAGGGTTGGTACGCTGCAGTGTGATTTGGGTGGTGGTCATGGAGACTGCTGCCCCCGCGACCTGGTAACGGATAAGTGGATGGATGGATGGATGGATGGATCTCCTTGGTGGTTCTTTGCATAAAATAACA